CTGGAGGCATATTAGAAGTAATTATTGTGTTTTGTGGTTTAATACACTGCTGTTTCTGTTTTTAATATTGTTTTTGCATATAAATTATGATTACTTTTCTGGTTATCTGCTACACAGGCTTTATAAAGTTTTCCCAAAGATAAACATTCAGTTGAACAGAAATGGGTATAGATACACTGGCTCACCATTGTATAAGTAGTAAAGAAAGCTCACAGTCTTCTTAATTGAAAAACATTTTGATATAAAGAACTAAAATGAAGAGACTTCATAGACTAAAATATTATAACTCTCCCAGGTACAGTATCAAGCGTTGAAATTTTTTACAAAAGCAAAGGTCTGTTTTATTGGATCAACTTTCACTATCCATCTTGCCTTCCTATACTGCCCATCAAAAAAAAATGTTATTATACTCTTGTTAGCTTTAATAGGGATTTTCAATTAGTTACTCTGGCTGGTAATTTTCATTGCTTTCTATAAACCCATTTGCAGGTTACCAGCTAAATAAAAAAGAAGAGGAAAGCAATCGCAGTTGAAAAGGAAAGTAAATGCGGTTGAAGAAGTGACTCTAGGGGCCAGTTATTTACTTAACTCAAAGACACGGTCAATCCCTTAGAGACTCAACATTATTGGATCTACCACATGTTAAGACCAATTGTGGTCAGACTTCTCTTAAGTTCTCGGCTGCGAGTGCCTGGAACAAATTGTCAATTAAGAGAATTATGTAAGCTGAAATCACTTGCACAGTTTAAGGTCAGAACTTTTACCTATACTTAATGATTAAGGATAAGGCCAATCATATTTGTAAGATCAATGCTTAGTTCTTTGTTAGAGTTTTTGTCATTATTGTTTAAACTGCTGTTTTTCATGTTAATATTCTTATATACTCTCATATTGCTGGTTGCTGATTGATACTAGTCCATCAACCTTTGTTGACTGACTGACCGATCGTTTTACCAGGATGAATAAAGTTATTATTATTATTTATTGAGCTCCACAGTTTTACACTGGTTGTGGGTCTCTACTTATTGTAGTATTTGTAGGTCACGTGATGTAAGATGATGCGATACCTGAAGAATACAGTTGAGTTAATGTCTACTGCGTACTACACGTGTTTTCTGTTTGTCCTTTTATTTCGCTTCTAATATCCCTCAGGATACAGAACTTATCTCTTTAAAAGGGTTGATTCAGTTAAATAAATGTCCTTTCACTGTTAGCTTTAGCTCCTTTATCCTGTCCACACAATCGAAAGTTCAGACAGAATATTTCAGCTAAATTAAAGACAGTTTACAACGCAGTTTTGTTAAACAACGGCTAAACTTTGTTAAAATAATCAGAACTGATAGTCTAAGTAGAATTGCATCGTCCCGGAGTCCTAGTGTTCTCATTCCAGATATTCCCTGCTCACCACGTGATTAAAGGGAGGGAACTCTGGGAATGAAAGGGGGAGTTCTTCAGGTTCGATATCTAGCTGAGTTGCATTAATATAGTTACGAAGAAGGCCTCTTTCTCGTTCTCAGGCGCACCAGGTGACTTCTTTTGCATATATTCAAAGCTTTAAGGTATGTGTACATTGATAAGGTATAAACTAGATGATTGCTTCGTGTTGTGCCCGATGAGTGGGATATATCAGTAAATGGAGTACGTACTTGTGAGTAATTCACTTCTGCATCGAAGGAAAGTTGCGTTTAGTTTCATGCTGATTTTGATTTCCCTCCCTTCGAGATCGCTTTCCCCAAATGTTTCTTATTTTGCATCAAAATTTTTACAGTCTTCGCTTTGATTTTGTTGTAATAAGATGTTACAGCTCTCCTAGAGGGTGACATCAATTATCTTCGTCTCCGAAATTTACAACGGTATTAACTGAGGCTCCAAGCTCAACTTTTAACGTTAATATTAAAGTCGCTGCCCAGCGACCTAAAATCAAATCACCAGGAAGGAAGTTTAGATGCCAGGAAAAAAAAAAGACAGCTTGGAAATCGTCTCTGGAGGTTCATAGGACTTGTCAAGCAGAGCTTGACACTCGGAAAACCAAGAAGAAAGAAGCAAATTTGTGTTGATTAAAACAGGTTCCGACTGGACGCAGGGAAAACCTTGAGAATTTTGCGGGATTTCAGATAGCATTTGCACGAAAAAGAGACAATTGTGTGGGTAATGATGCTATTAAGATGAAACAAATATTTTTTTGCTTGTCTGGTTTTACAAATACTAGCTCCCACTAAACTCTGAATTCGCGAATTCATACCTCTTTGATCGTTTATCGTTGTGAAATTACCGCATACCGCAGGGATAAATATGCACGCCTTGAGTCAGTTTGATATTACAGTGTTTGCAGAAACGTAAGAAGTAAAATGAAACTGTAGCAGGAAACTCTATTGTTAGGCTTCACTAGACTAATCCCTTCACCACTTGAAACTTGAAAGCAAAAGCTTGGATGTTTTTATTTAGGAAAATGTGCATAACTTTTTGAAAATCGTGTCCTTTAACTTAATGTTGAGGTACTTTGCTTTCACTTTGCACTTAAAGCCAAACAACACACATTTACCCTCAAATATTGTTTGTCATATGCTACAATTTTGCCAATAAAAATGCAGTTGCCAAGAAGAGGTGCTTTAATGCAAAGCATGGAATTTCTTGTTATTATATGAATTACTTTTAATGCTCCTTAGATGAAAAAAAATTTGACAGATTATACTCATTGGTCATTGATAACCTGCATAAATCAAAGAAATCACGACACAAGGCATTGAAGGTCACAAATTTAGAGCCAAATTAGGAGCAGTATGTTTTCTTGTTTTCAACAGAAGCTGTTGTGTTCATGTATGCAGAGTCATTTGACATATGAGTTCATTTGTAAACAAAGCAGTTTATTGATAATAATATACCCTTGCTCATGCTATTAAGTTACTGTCAGGAAATTCTTCACTAAGAGAAATTAATAATAGAATTTGGTTCTATTTGTCCCCTCAAAAAGACCTTTTAAAACAGGTAAAAACTCTTGAATTCAAATTAGATGTGTAAATTATAATGTTTTTACTCATGCATTGGCTATCTTTGGATAATTTTTTTCATCCTGAAGGTTTTCTTTTAATGGGCCCAACTCTCAGATGCCTTGACCAGCCGGTGTGACTAATCTGCCATTCACAAGCGAATTTAAATCTCCTGCCTTCGAAGCTTAATAGTTCTGATCAGCATATCTTTTGGTGACTAACTTCCTTTTAGATATCATAATTTAGGTAGCTCCTTAAATGTTGTCCTTTAATCTAGTTGGTTTTGAGTTAAGTACCATTTTTCCATCACTGTGTTTTTAAGGTTAGAAAATTAAAGGCAAATGATAATTGTTTTGTTATGAAAGGCAGTCTTTTTTCTTCTGTGTACTGTTGTCTTTGTTTTTGAGAGACCTGTAGCTCCCAGTGAATTAAATTCAGCTATGTATTTGTCCAAAATTTCATCTCGGTATCCTCAATTCTTCAAGCATATTTTGAAAATCTTTATTTTTTCATTAATTGTGAAGTGAGAGAAATTTGTTCTTAGGACATGTAGGGCTTCTCTTTTGACCAAACAAGAATGATCATTCTAGAGATTAATTAAGACATTTGATTTGCATATAAGGGTCCTCTCGAGTGCAAGCATGAATGTATAATAAAACCACTTTGAACTGTCAGCTTAAGGTAGCTTTTGCAATTATTTTGTTGTGATTTACTTTTGAATCAAAGATTTGTGATCACAGGTTTGTTTTGGTGTTCTCAATAACTTAAGATACGGTATGTTTTAACTTGGAATTGAAGTTTAATCGCCGATGTGTCAGAAAAATTATCAAGTTCCCAGGTAATAACATTAACAGTGGCATGCAAAACATACTCACTGGTTGAGTGGGGCCTATAGTTATACCAAGATCCAAGAGTAGTGTTAATGGTAACTCAATCTTTTACCCTTCTATCTTTGTCTTTGTTGTCCTAATTGTTATATTCTTAAATGCTTGTATTGTTCTTTGAGTTATGTTTAATGCTTGTTTGTTTCTAAGGAGGCAGAGGCAATGCACAAGTACAAGATTCTCCTTCTCTATTGCCTGTTTGTACTCTCAAATTTACAAGAAGCTTGTCAACCATGTTCAGTTTAGCTTATTGGGATTCTGTGACTACTCTTTTTACATAAATTTACTCACTTTTAAATGGATTGAATCTGCGGCCACTGATTCCACATTCTTTGAAAGTTCTGTTACTGTAACAATTATCTTTCTAGTTTTTGCTTGCTCTATTTTTCTGAGCTTAATTGTTAAAGTCTCTTTGGCTTTAATTAGGCTCTGGTATCTTAGGCTTTTTTGGGCATGTGCCCTTCTGAAGATTAGCTTATGTATTAGAGTCAGATGGAGTTCTTTCTCACTAGTGCCATGGATCTCTTGACTTCATATCGTGGGGGCTTTGCTTTCAGCACATATACAATTTCCTTCATTCTAGCATCATTGTGACAGAGTAGAAGCTTTGGTTGTGTCAGAGTCGCATAGTCACTGTCAGTCGAGTTTTAGTCTCTAGATGACATTTTGGCTTTCTTTAAGTACTTAATGGAAGATCCTTGATGGTTAAAGGGAAATTCCCAAGAGCATTTCCTGTCTTCAAGTTTTTATTCCAGCCTTGTAACATGGTTCTTGGTATAACATAACCTAATCACAGACGCAGGTTCCAAGATGCGCGGTTGTCAGAACATAAAAATTGATCTTTACTGATGTGTGTAGAATTCTTTCACTGTGATGATCAGTAAAAAGAGGAAATTTCTTTTAAAAGGTTAAGTCAAGTAAATTGATTATTTGAGACATGTATATTCTCATTCAAAGGCAACTTGACTCTGGATCAAGTGGTTTGGGTTCTGCAAGCCCAACCAGGGACATAATGTGTTGTGTTCTTGGGCAAGGTGCTTTACTCTCACAGTGCTGACTCTTCACCCAGGTGTTTAAATGGCTACTAGCAAATTTAATGCTGGCAGTTAAACCCTGTGATGGACTAGCA